AGCAGTACTGTACCCTGTGGGAACCTAATATTTCATTTCTCTTTTCCTCTAAATTGCCCAGCTTTTACTATCTTTTCTTGTTTTTGTCCACTGCATCTACATTTAAGAACCAGTAGGTTATGGAAATGAAAAATGTGACAAGTGTTTGGAATTTTCCTTTTTCAGAAACTGCAGCTGTTTTTCCTGAAGACAATACTGGCACAAGTTTTGTTGTTGCTTTTCCGGAGAACATCGCCTATTATTATCCGTCTCCTCCCCAAAACAAGATCCAAATCACTGCTTTGTACAATAGTACCAACGTCTCCATCACACAGTATACCTACAACTCCACGAAAGTGCTAATGAAAGCCGGAGACTCTATGGTGTTCGATCTTGTTGCAGAACTAGAGCTCGTTAAAGGTAACTTCACCAACAAAACTCTACAGATTACCAGCAATAACAATATCACTGTCCACGCCATCAGTCTTAGAAAGAGCAGCATGCAGACTGCTCTAGTGGTTCCTACCGACAAACTGGGCACAAGGTACTTCATTCCACCTGTGCCCCAAATCCCTGGAACCACTGACAGCGGGGTCACGACCTCTGTCACAGAACGAGCCCCGTTCAGACTCATTATCATCAATACAAATCAGATGAACACGGTGACCATCAACGGTACAAACCCCCGACACATTGTGCTTGAGCCTTTCAAGGTCGGACAGATCTGGCTACAACAAGAGGATGCACTGCAAACTGTGACAGCCACGCAGCCAGTGGCGGTCCTCTTCGGTCACACTTGTGCCATCCGACAAAACTGTACCTGCGGGCTGCTGTACACCACGCTGCCGCCAGCCACAGCAAAGAATAGGACATTTTACATCCCTCCTGTCTTGGCTAACGGATCTGCCACATTTCTACTTCAGTCAGATGGAGTTTCCAACCAAACACAGGCCTTCAGCCTCAGTTCACCACTGATGACGGCAGCCGGCACAGTTGTCCTGTACCGGCCAGGTTTGCTCCTCAGTCTGATCCCAAAGGAGGACTTCGCCTCCTGCTTTGTCCTCAGCCCCATCCCCAATGCAAACAATACTGCTGTGATCATGGTTGACAAGAATTTCACTAACGGGGTTCGCTTTGGAAAGCTTCCTCTGGAAAATCCAGAGTGGTACAGCCTTACAGGTACACAGTATGTCTACACACAAGTTAACCTGGTGCAAAACACAACCATCATCTGGCACACGTCCACCACAATGGCTGTCTATGTTGGAGGAACCATGAAAGACTCTGTGTTTGGGAACCCAGCTCACATCATCAGTAAAACCCCAGGTATGTAGCTGTACTGTTTGTTTGTTGGTTTGTTCACAGCATAACTCAACCAGAAATTAATAGATTTAAATGAACTGATTCAGAGATGTAGGATACGGCCCATGGAACAGACCATTAGATTTTGGTGCTGATCTTCCAGACCCAGGAATTTGAGATAGGGCCACTTTCAATAGGTTTGCTTCTAACTCCTTACACAGTGCCTGGACAAACCCAATTTCCAACCCTAGTCAACAGAGTTAAACCATCTTCAAAAGTTACTGAACCACATCCTGAAGAAAACCACCATTAGTGAAATATGATTTTTCTTGACTAACTTTCAAACCAGTGATATCAGTGTGATTTCAAATGCCAGCAGTCAGTTGCTATGAATCATGTTATAGGGGTCACACTGTCATGGGAATCCGGCACTATGGGGACAGTGAGCCGCCTGGGTGGACATCCACACTCTCTGAATCATGTCTGATTAAGTACAGGAATTTATTAACATTTATTTTATCTGTAACCCTCATAATCAATCAATTAATGTAACCTGGATTCATGTGTTGTAGAATGTATGAAAGATGCAATACTACCACAAAAAACATAAAACCATCACAGACACATAAAACTACCACAGGTGCAAAACCTCCCCAAAGAGAATCAAAACAAGCACCTAAGACACAAAACCTACCAGTAAGAGACTAAAATTAGGACAGAGACACAAAAGCACCTCAAAAAGATTCAAGACAACCACACCAGGTCATAAAATGACCACAACAAAACACAAAACACCATAAAGAGATGCAAAGCTACCACAAAGAGACACTGCATGACAGAAAACCAGCACAGAACCAATCCACCAGTTACCAGAACCGTTTCCTGTCAGAAAACGCCTTCTAACTTTTGTTTCTTCTGCACTGGCCAACAGATTTTAGGGGCTGTGTCTTGACTCCAGAGGTCATACAAATCGGGACAAACGCAAACGGCTGGCGTGAATCTCTGCAGTACTGCCTGAACATAAGCATGAAGCTGATCAGCATGTCCACCAGCCAATTCCAAAGCCAAATTTACAGTAAAACCCTCCAGGCCAACAGCAACCAGACATCTGAGATGTGGATCGGCATGCGTCGGAGCTCCCTGACTGGACAGTGGTACTGGCTGAATCATGAACCAGTCACTGACACCAAGGCAACCAGACATCTGAGATGTGGATCGGCATGCGTCGGAGCTCCCTGACTGGACAGTGGTACTGGCTGAATAATGATTCAGTCACTGACACCAACTGGGGGCCTGGGGAGCCAGGCACAATAGACGACGGCCAGTGTGCCATCATGAGTCTGCAAAGTGGGCAGAAGTTTGGGTGGCGTGATGAGGACTGCTGTAAGGCCGCTCTCCCTGTCTGCTACACCAACCCTGTCCTCTTCAGTATATAGTGGGAAGGTGCAGCAGGGCGGCAAGGGTTAACACAACTCCTCGGGCGTGATGAGGACTGCTGTAAGGCCGCCCTCCCTGTCTGCTACACCGAGCCTGTCCTCTTCAATATATAGTGGGAAGGTGCAGCAGTGCGGCAAGGGTTAACACGACTCCTCAGAATACCTGTGTGACCTCAGGCCTATTACTAGATGTCAGATATTCCTGGTGTGCTCAAGCATTTCTTCCTCTAACATTAACTAAGTAGTTGTCTAATAATTAGTCTCATTATACCCCAGTATATTGATATTATAAAAATCATTGGGTAAACAGTTCTCTCCAGGTACTCTGGCTTCCTCCCATAGTCCAAAGACATGCAGCTTAGGTTGACTGGTGACTCTAAATTGCCCCTAGGAGTGAATGTGAGTGTCTGTGGTTGTTTGTCTACATGTCAGCCCTGTGATAGACTGGCGACCTGTTAGGGGGGGACCCTGCCTCTCGCCCAGTGTCAGCTAGGATGGGCTCCAGCTCCCCCTGCGACCCTGTTCAGGATAAGCAGTATAGATGATGGATGGAACTGGTTAAACATGATCCCAGTAATACTACAGTTTAAAGTGGCGTTTATATAATAAAGACTTTTAGCCAAATGATTGATGACGTGGCTGTGGCCTCTGTACGGCTGGATAATGGTGGAGTTTGGTGACGTTCGTCTGTGAACCCACTGCTGAAAGATGTAACACCAAGTTTAACCAGAAACTTGCCATGTGACACTAAAGTGACCAGAAGTTGTTACCCAGAAGAAAAAACTCACATACAGAGAAACTGTAGCCAGTACGCTTTACCTGACCTCAGGTACATTTACCACGACATAGCTTTTTAACACCTCTGCTGAGTTTACAAACTCTGCTTTTCAAGTCCAGCTAAAATTAAATGTTATGTTTTTAATCTACTGCACCAAACACATCTGCTCTGTAGTTCACATTTTTCGCTTTTTGTTTTTAGGACTTAAGATCTGTTTTCTTCTACTACAGTTTGAAATATCCTTCATTTGGTGTCTCAGTGAATGTACTAGAATTTATCACCTGTATGTGAAAGATGTTAGACTTTATGAATGCAGCAAATTTGTTCTTGTGTGGGGTGTTCTGGAGACTTCAGACATTATTTTTCTAGAGTTTCACTTTTATCAGAAGCCTGCTGTCAGTTCCATATAATATCTGTAATTTACAGAAATGTACAGCTTCAGTTTAAAAAGACTGCAGCTTTCAGTCTGTGTGTGATCAGACTCAGTTACTGACTGAACCATTAAATCTGTTACAGTGTGTGAAACTGAACTGCTTTTGTGTTTTTTTTTAATTTCCCTTTGACAAACATCTAAACACAACTAAAATGTATACACAGCAGTCACATGATCTTGTCTGAGGCCCACCCTGTGTTGGTCGAAAAGTGTGAGATGGAGTCAGTGGCTGTGAAACAAACAGATGACTTTAGCTGCCAGTTCCACTGTCACCTACTATTGCAGTGTTTAACAGCAGGAAATAGAAGGATGGTTCAACGGGGCAAACAAGGTGATAAACTTAGTGTATGATGTAAAAGTTAACTTGTTTCAAGATTTTAAAAAATGGACAAAGTGGCAGGAACCTCCCCACAGCTATACTTGGTCACCAGTGTGCAGATAAGTTGAGCAGTGATGAGCCCAAATGAGCTAATGTAATCATGCCTAATGTCTCAATACTGCAGGAGTAATCGTTTCAGTGACACCTTATTTTATGGGTAAGTAATTGATTGATTGATTGATTGATTAATTTTTCATTAAAGCCACAGTATATGTAATAGAACATCTCTGATTGGTCAGAGAGGTCAGTCCTGCTGATAACTTTTCAGAAACTCATGTCTCTGCTGCCAGTTCAATGAGTTTGAGTCACAGCTCCGCTCCACATTACGACATGTTCTGAAGCAAATTCCTAAAACTAAATATTTTAAAAAGTGACATACTGTACCTTTAAATTAAAGATGCTTCCTGGAAACAACTGTTATTTGGTACAAATTCCCAATTCACTGCTAAGAGAGAATGTGGCAAAAAGTAAAGTTTGGAAAACTTTAACTTAGCATTTATTACCAGCATACAAACAGTTAATGCATTTTGAATAAATGGTTTATAACGCACTATAATGTAGCTGTAAGAAAATGTGGGACAATTTAGAGGGCTTAGTCATGCACAGTGCTAGTCAGAAAATATTTTATATGATTCCAGTTGTGTTTTACTGTTTAGTCACTGACGATCTGTTTCCACAGCAGACTGGCTGGCTGTCAACAGGAGGAGTTAGAGTTGGTGGCTGACACATTAATGAACAGCTGCAGAATCTGTCAGAAACCAGTGAATAGCTCATTATAGGCCAATTATAAGTAAAGGTTGACATTAGCTCATGCTGGAGCAGCTCACTTCCACCAGCAGCTGACTCCCTGCACAGCTACTCCCTGCACCACCCACAACCCCATCCCCACCAGCAGCAGCACTTTTGCCCCCACAGACAGCGACAGGAGGAGCAGGAGTGGAGGTGACGCCCCGGCCACAGAGAGCGGGGGTCGGGGGGGCAGGACATACAGGGTGGCCTGCTCCTTTCCCAGCGGGTTGGAGGCGCTGCAGGTGTACTGCTGGCCTGGCTCCACGTCTCTCAGCTGGCTGACAGTGTGGTAGTGAGTGGGGGAGCCTTGGGACAGCGGGCCGACTGGTGAACCCTCCAGCAGGTCGTCCGGGCCAAGCCACTGGACATCCGGCAGTGGGGAGCCCTTAACCCGACACAGAGCTCGGTACCCGGACTGCTCAGTGCCCTCCACTGACAGAGCCAGGACCTTTGGAGGAGCTGCAGCACACACAGGAGGAGAGACAAGAAAAGAGGAAGGTGAAGTGCCACAGTCACCCACAAGGCTGGACCATTGCCCCTGACGCCCAGGAGCCCCAGGGCACCAGGTTTACTCTACAGCGTTAGAATCTGCATAATCTGACTAATGTTAAAGTGTTAGAAAGTTGCACAGTTGTGTTAGATTAGCAGCCATGTTGGGTCCAGCTTGTGGTGTAGTGCTTAAATGTCGTCATCATCAACCCCCAGTAAACCCACTGAAATGTTTTGTCTGAGCAACAATCAACACCACATTGATACTGAGTTTAGTGCCAAAGAAAACTAATCATATGTTAGAAGCTGGAACCTGTGACTTTTCTGGCATTTTGTTTTGAATAAATGTAAATTCTCTTTATAACATTTTAAGGTCACTGGCATCACAATATAAGGCTGACCACAACAGCATTTTGAATATTACAGCAAATTCAATTTGTCTCACTTTGAAAACTGGGCTGCTGTTGCTTTTTATTTCCCTTTGAACATTTGACTAATATTCACACACAGTGTCACATGAACTGTCTCCCCAGTCGGAAGGTGTGAGATGGATCCAGGGCCTTAAAACAGTGTGTGAACCAGACAGACTGTGTGAGTCATTGTGCTGTGACCAGGCTAATATGCATCTGATCATGTGGTTTGGGAAGACAGATGCCTTTCCACCTTGTCCACATCTGGCTCTCTGCAGACTGACATCTGTTCTTCCTATGTTATTTACACTTGCAGTGATTTGTTGTGGCTTTAGTGATTTTTGGATGAACCCACCCTCTACCCTCAGTCTGGTTCCCATCTTGTCCTCAAAGCTGATGTGTTCTCGTCCCTGAACCTCCACTCTGCAGTAGTAGCGGCCACTGTCCTGCAGGGTGGCGCTGTTGATACGCAGTGACAGGTCGTGCTCCCTCGGGTTCCCCTCCAGTCGGTAGCGCTGGTCCTGCTGGGGCCCTGGCTCACAAGTGGGAGCCCCAGCCCGGCTGGTGCAGCGATACAGGATGGTGGCACCCTGGCCGTGGCCCAGACGCCACAGCACCTGCAGAGATGAATGCTGGGAGTGCTGCGGGTGGGTGAAGGTGCAGGGCAGCACCACCGGGTAACCCTCGATGGCTCGTACCTCCGGGTGCACAATCATGGACCAGCCTTCATCTCCGGAGCTGAGAGCTAGAGGGAGGAGGGCATAGGAAAAGACATGCTAGTACCACAGCTCACTGGTTACCTCATATATATTTTAGAAAACTTGCCCAGTGACTGATGTTTTGTTTTTCACCGAACAGGTATAATGTAGTTTGACAAGTGTCGAGCCCTGCAGACACAGCTATGTTTTGAGCTAAATGCAGGTGTTGAACAGCAGAGTGTGAAATATTCTGTACCCTCACATTTCCAGATTTTTGCAAACCCACCACAAACCTGCAATTACCTTAACCTGCAATTAACAGTCAGGTCAACTCTGGACCTGGCCCAGTCTGACCAGTAGGTGAATCAAATATGCTCAAAGCTGCTGATGGACAGTACAGGCAAAAAACTGTACAACAGCAACAACTCGACAGTTTTAGTGTTAGCTCAGTGTCTGCATGCTAATCTGGTTTTACTTCTTTACATGAAACGAAATCTATGACTCAAACTGAAACAACAGCATTCACCTCACATGCTTGAAAATACAAGCTAATGCCATGTTAGTTTTTGTTCATGTGTGTGAATCCACTCACCTCCTATACCAGAAAGCAGGAGACTCAGGGTGCAGACCAACCAGACGTCCATTAGGAGACTGCTGAAGAGACACAGCATAGCTGGATGTGTGTGTCATTCAGGTGACTCAGTAGCTCCAGACACAGTACTGTGTTCTTTGTGTCTGTTGCTTGTAGAGTTCAGTTGAGTCACAACAAAATAAAAAAAGCTCAGTAAACCACCAATAAAACAAGATGAGGGGTGTTCCCAGTGAAGGAGTGCTGAAGACAGCTGGGCTCAGTTTGAACGTCTGGCTGTGAAACCACAGGTTCACTCTTGTTTGTGAGTGTTTGTGCGTGAAGCTGATTCATCAGCTGGGTTTAAAGCAGCCAGAAGAAATATTTTTATAATGCAAATGTATGAAAAACCAGCTTGTTTAATGTGGTAGTGTGTGGTAGTGATGGACCTGCGAAGACCGATCCGCTGAATGTGCAGCTGTCTATGGCTTCACACAGCTGAGCTTCAGCTTGGTTCTTTTGTGGCCCCCGCCCCCCAGCCAGAAATTGATGAGCAGCCGCTGGACGTTACCTGCTCAGCAGCAAACAGACAGTAGACAGACACAGTCAGAGACTAAATATCAGATACACTAGAAATAAATTACATAAATAATGAGTTACAGAATGAAAGCTGTAACTGTAATGCTGGGTCTGTGCTGTAGCCGTTTTTAACCCCTCCTCTTTTAATTCTTTTCAACAGACAGGAAATATCAAGTGGTACTCATTTCACAAGACTTCCTCAATTTGATATTTTAAGGGCAAAGGTCTGAAGGTCTGGTTTCTATCTGTTTGTTTCCTTTTCTGAGCGGTCACTTGCAGCATGTGGCAGCAGACGAACAGTTTCCTTCTTATTCTGTCTGTGGTAACAGGTAAGACCCCCTTCACTTTGTTCAGATCAGATGGTACCAAACATATGAAACTGTAAATTCTGGGTAGTTTTCAGTGTTTGATCATAAAACTACAGACCAGAGACAATCTGGTTTTGCTGATTTTTCTTCATAAACCAAAGTACTGCTCAAGTTGCTGACTTGGTGGTGGTGCTAGATGAAAAGTCAGAAGATCACCGAAGTCATCACAGTTCATCCTGTGGGGAACATGAATGTTTGAACCACATTTGACCACAGTCCATCAGATAAATGATCAGTTGTTTCAGTCTGGAACAAGAATGTGAACAAATAGGCTGAGAAGCTTCTGTTCAACACCCTGTGCTATTACCTCTGAACACGGCTGTTATGGACTGACCCTGGTGTGATCCTCCTCTTCAGTGTCACATCCTTGGAGCATGACAGTCCCTCCAAAGGTCACTGTCTCCAGGGGAGAAGATGCCGTCCTCTGGTGCTCCTTCACACATCCCAGACAGCAGGACTACTCTGGGCTGATCACTGTTAAATGGATTGCTCGAGAATCGAGAATTGGGCTATTCTATAGCTGCTCTGTTAAAAACACCTCGATGGAGGAACTCAGAGAATGTTCAGCTTCCACATTAAGATATTCCTTGAGTGGAGATCCTCGACGGGGGGAGCTGTCACTTCTCATCAGGAAGGTGGAGCTGACTGATGAGGGCACGTTCTTCTGTCGAGTGGAGCTGGATGGTCAGCAAAGTCATATACAAAAAGAGGTGCATCTTTATGTAGAAGGTAAAGTTCTCTTCTGGATGACCTGTGGCTCCATGCAATGTTTTCCTGTCTAGCATGATTTAAAATCCAACTGAAATCATGATCTCTGTCTGGACTCAAAAATAATGTCAGAAGTTGTGTTAATAGTAATTGGATGTATGAAAACAAATGTTCGCTTCACCAGATGATACTCAGATTAATGTTAAGGTAGGGCAGAAAAAACGTGCAGTTTAGCTTCAGATGGACTTTACAATAATACTGTGCTGTACCTGCAAAACTGAATGTGAACGAGCTGAAAAGGTGGAACAATAAGACCATCGGTCACAAAAATCATTACCAATCCAACAAATCATTTTCATGACCTATTTCCACCAGAGGAACTTTCTCAGGGTAACACAAAACCTTTGTGTTACTTCCTTCACTCCCTGTTTCCACCAGAGGAACTTAGTTCCTGGGTGTATCTCTACACCCCTGTAAAAGTCCCCGGTCAAGGGGAGGGTAGTACTTTCAGAAGGTCTAGAACTGCTGGGGCAAGGTCTGCAGTGCAGAACCTCACTGACTGGTCAAGGCAAATATAATAAGTATGCAACAAGTAGTACAAAACATCTTGTGTGTATAATTACCCAAATAGAAAAATAGATCAGTTTGGGTTTCTGCTTGTATCCCTTATGCAAATAAAACTTGGCCAAAATAAGAAATGCATGTATTAAATAAGAGGTGAACAAGAGCCAGCATTATATTCAATGAATCCAAGCAGCTTCACTTAGTCATGTACATATAAACTGCTATAAACTGTGAAGGAAAACTGGCTATGGTTAGAAGTCAAGTCACATATTTTACTTTTATCCTTGCAGCTAGACCTGAGATCCTGAGTCTCTCAGTGATGAAGTCACCCTCCGGGTCAGACAGCGCCCCCCAGAGGCTGCGGTGCGAGGTGGAAGGACACCCACCACCGAAGATCGTCTGGCTGTCAGCCTCCAGACGCATGAAAGAGGTTCAGGTCCAGACCTCTAAGTCTGGTCCGTATCGAGTGGTCAGTTCTGTGCCGTACCAGGAGGGGGAGGTCTTGACCTGCAGGGCGGAGAGCAGGCTGGGTGAAGTGGAGAGGGGGTATCCACCCAGTAATACCCTGATGATAACTCTTACTGTGTGCGGCCTCATTGCACTGCTGCTGCTGCTCTTGGTAGGCGTCCTTGTGTACTGCCTGAGAAACAGAGGTGAGCTTCTCTCACAAGACTGAAATTTACAGATAGGGGTATGAACAGCAGTGTTACCATGTGTCCATCTCTGTCTCTGCCTGCTCTGTGAACTCTCATTCCCACTCCAGTCTCCAGGCATCTTTGGATGTCCCCTGCGAACCTGATCTGCAGGAAGGTGCTAAAGCTGCATCACACACTTTATCTCCACCTCCTGCTGCTTTTGTCATAAAATGCAAAACTAGACACAATGTGTGTACCTGTGGTCGTAACAGAGGTGTGTAACTGAACAGTGAAGTCAGACTGACTTTATACCTGCTTTACCCACAGTAATACTGTAACATAATTATCAGGACACCTGCAGGGTATTTATTTCTCATGGCTCATGAACTGATTTTATCTGATATTTGGATTTGGTGTCATCTATGATTCCAGCTAGAGTTCACCTCCTCAGCAAAGCTGCCATGTTAATCTGAAATAACCTGATTCATCTGGTTTGTTTTAATGTCTCATTTCTCTTCAGCTCGAGCTGACACTTCTCCAGTTTACCCTAACGCTCAAGTAGGTAAGTGGCTCAACCTGGTTTATCTCATTGTGTTAAAGTTTTTCACAATATCAGTAAGAGAAGAACTGTCAGAAACAGGTTTTTGCCCAGCAGAATCTCACTAAGGAGGAATTTAACCTGATGTTGTGGTGCATGACAATCAAAAATATACAAAGTAAGATTAAATACAAGTATCACAAAAGATAAAATAAAAAACCTACAGTACAAACATAAAAATATTTGTGTCAAAGCGAAAGGATCTGTTTAAAAATAAAAAAATGAATTATAGAATGTGTGTTCACAGTATAGATGTGCATATAACAGTACAGACACCTGCATTAATGTGACAACAGCAGTCTGGAGGTCACAGCACCTACATCTCACTTTTTTATTGAATAAACTACTACAGTTAAATGTATCAGTGTTATGTTGTGAAATATGGAAGCTCAGACCTAAATAATGAATCAGCCAGTGTTTATTACAAAATGACAATGACTAAAAGGAGAAATAAGCAGGAAGTGAACCCTGCTTCGGGGCAAAGGGTTAAAGTTGGGGTTGGGACACAAACATGCTTCTGACATTAAGACCTGTGGCCTCAATCATCCAACCATCAACACTGAGAAACAGATCATATGAAAACAACAAAAATCAGACCCAGCTGTAAATATTTGCTCCTGTCTGTGTCCATGTTGCTGTGTATGGCGAAGTGGAGGATCACAGACAACATGGCTTCGAGTCTCTGGCTGATGGTTACGCTGAGGTCCAGCCGGTTTATTCAACTGTCACCATGTCCAGCTCCACCTCCTGTGAGTTCTACTCCACAGAAACATTTCAAGGCACTGAAGCCCTCTCCTTTTAAACTGGAGTTAAAATAAGATAAAGGTCATCTTCTACACTGCCTCAGGTTCTGTCCTCCACATGACAGCTTTGCATTGCAAAACAAATTAAAAAGTTTAATCAAAGCAGCCGCCTCCTCACTTCTGATGCCATGTTGTCTTTCTTCTTTACAGCTGCACCTGTTCAGCTCACACAGTGTGTTTATCTTTATGGGCATGTTGTTTGTCTTTATGGATGTTTAGCATCTTTCTATAGTCATTTTCTGCCTCGATGTGGTTACTGTGTGTATTTTTGAGTCATTTTGTGCTACTGTGTGGTGTTTTTGTAGTCGTTTTGCGTTTCTCTTTTGATGTTTTGTGTCTCTTTGTGGCAGTTCTGTGTCTCATTTTGGTTGTCTTGTGTCACCTTCTGGGATATTTTGCAGGTGATGTCCAGGGGCCCCCTGACCCCTCAGGTCCCTAGGACTGGGCCCATTCAGTAAACCACACGTATTGGGTCGCAGTTCACCTTTCTTTGGGTTTATAAATGTCTGGCTCCAGAATGGGAATCACACTGAATACAGTCGTGAAACAACCTTATGAAATGGATTGTAATAAATTCACCTGTTTTTTTTTTCTTCAGGTGTCCACTACTCTCCTGTGAATGTCCAGTAGTGAGTGAGGTGGGAACATTTTCACCCTGTGTGACATCATAAAGATCTATGAGCTTGTATGTCATGTTCTATCCTTCCCAGAAACAACAGATAATCTCCCTGAAGTTTCAGACCATGTTGATGCTCTAAATACATCTTAAAGAGTAAGATTCAGGTTGGTTTTCCTCAGGAAACTAAAATCCTTTGAGCCCAGCAGGAAGATTTGAACCGTCAGAGCTGTCAGAACTTCATGGCCTCGTTTGTTGTTTGTGGTCTTTTTAAATAGCTGAACTGTTTTGAGTGGTAGCTACAGAAACAGATCTTAGATGTTTCTTGTTCTCACAGCTGTGAAACTTAAATGTTGTGATATTTGAATGTTTTATAATGGTCTATACATTTTTCACAGCATTTGTGTGGTCTTGTTTCAACAGTTTGACCCATTTCATTTGTCCTGCTTTGCTTTTATTAAAGATCCCATCTGGAAATGTTTTTTTTGTTTGTTTACTGACCTTTTGTTTGACTCACTTTCTGATCTTTTGCTTCTTTTTAGTGAATTTTAGGCTCTAATAATGTTCAGTGCCACAGTAGGAAGCCAGGAGGCATTAAAAACACAGCCATGATTTAAAGGGTGTGTTGGAGGTTTAAAAGGAGCACGTTATCTTACAGCTTAGGGTTACAAGTTTAAAATAAAGTGCGATTATTTGGACTTTCTCAAAGAAGAACATGGGAGAAACCTTCTTGTTTTACCATCGTATACGCCTTTGCTCGTCATCAGCCCGTCACCCACAGAGTGCTGTGTTCTCATTTCCTTCTTCACATATTGATATCAGAAAGTTTAAACTTACCATCAAAGCTGCTCCTGTAAATATAGGTATGTGAGAACAAGGAGCAAAAACTTGATGCTTTTCTTTGTCAGACATGAGGATCAGCTGAGTCTGTGGATCTGTTGGTTGGACACAACAAGACATGTGAAGACACCATGTTTGGTTCTGGAGAGTCATAGTGGGACTTTTTCCCAGTGCCTGACATTCTGGGGTTAAATCACCAGAAGCGCTTCCTGTGCAGCTGCAGGAAATGTTCAGAAAAAAAAAATCATACAGCAGCAACTTCTCCTGATTTCTCTGCAGCATGAGCCAAACCTGCTGCTGACACACAAGTCTGTGAGGTCAGCCGGTTTTATAGAAGTAATGAACCCACTGCGTGAGGGGAAAACACCACCGTGTTGGAGGAAGAGGCGAGTCCCCAGTTTACAGCCCAAAAGAGGTGGTTTTGTTTTTCCTCCAATCGACTGGTGACTGTTGGAAAAACCATCTCAGATATGTCAGCAACATTTCACAGGTTTTCTCCTGTCACAGGCCTGGATTTTAAAAAAGGTGAAACAAACACCCAAACTGTGCTCGAGTTTGTGAAACAGAAAATTCATTCCTGCATGTTGTACTCTCAGAGAGGAACAAAAACTCCAGATTTTGTAAGACAATAAATGTCCTAATCCTCTTCACAGTGACTTCAGCAAAAACCTCAAATTCAAAATTTCAGATTTGATGTCTGACTGTCTCCTCAGCTCAAGCCAATACGTCTCTGTGATGTCAACAGAGGTCTCAGTAAGTCTCTCAGCCACAAACACTGTGGTTATATGAATCAGATCAACACTGGTGTTTGAAGCAGTTTCTGTCTAAAAGGGGGCTTTTACCTGTCTATGCCCAGGGCCCTGTTGTCTCATACTCGTCCATATCTGATACAAATGTGGAGTCAGTTTTAAACCAACACCAGTAAGATGATACAACATCAGTGAATTTGTTGCTGCTGATAATAAATTAAAGGTTTGATTACTTTATTGCACTTTGCTCTGCATAGTTTTTACCACTGACTTTCCTGATCGAGGAGAACAGAGTCCAGTGTCAGTGTTTGCTCTTGTGCTTGTTTTTGTGTTGTGTGTATGTGGAGAATAACAGCCTGCAACACTCTGACCCTCCAGCTGATGGTGCTGTTGGTTCACAGCACCTCGTTCCCACTGGACCAGTTCCTCCAGAACCAGGACTTTATTCACTGTGCACTGACATGCAAGGAATTAAACTTAACACACTAGCGCTATCAGCGTGCTGCACAAAACAGTCAACAAGAAAAGTAAAAGAATATACAATCTCAGTAAAACAACTTTAAACAAGAATAATATGACATAAATAAATCAAATAGAAAACCAATAGTCCACTTAATCAGCTTGCCCAAGAAGTGTTAACCACTCACTGTATCTAATCAGCTACTCCCTGTATCTCTTTAAACGCTCAAACTGTTCCTGTGAAGGAGGCCTTCAGGTTTGTCACCATCTCACTCTCCCCTTTATTACATCCAGTCAGTAGCTGATCTGGTTCACCTGCACCTCATTATACAGCCTATATAACCTGTCTTCACCTTCTTCTCAGATGCCAGATTGTCACACTTGCTTCCTGCCAGTCTTCAATTGTGCTCAGCAAAAGACTGGTTGTCAACAAAAGACCTGCAGTCCAGCTGTTGCTCTCTGCCAGCCTAGCCCTTAGGTTGGTTGACCACCTCAGGTCTTGGGAGATTATGGTTCCCAGAAACTTGAAGGACTCCTCCACTGATACTATGCTGCCGTTTATGACAAGGGGGTGCCACCTGATTATGTTTTGTCCAATATTTTGATGCAAAAAAGTGTTCATGAACTCCTTTGCTTGGGTTAGGACTTGGCTCACCTTTTTACAAAATTTCTAGAAAAGACTCAAAATAAAACATGCTCTTGTCTGCCCCCTTCTGCTGTGTGAATCTGAGTTAAATTCTGGGTTTAACAATGTAAATGTTCAGAAATGTAATAATATGTCAGGATCGGAATGTGAAGCTGCCGATGTTGTCGTGGGTGAACTCAATTACATTACAGGAGACCGGAGAGGCCGCTCGGGAGGGCGACCTCAGCGCCAGACAGAGAACCAGGGGGGTGGCCGGAGGGGCAGGACCAGCAACAAACTACCAGACTGGACTGCAACTGTGGTGACCCCGGCCCCCATGGGAACAGGAACAGGTCCTGAGGCTGAGGCAGCGCACTGGCTGACCTGCTCAGGAACAGGCCCGGTGGGGGCACCATCCCTGTTGGTGAACCCTACAGAAGCTGGGAGAAGGAGGGTGGCATCGCTGTCCTTGTCGGCGCACCCCACAGGAGAAAGGGCAGAGGTGGCGTCGAGGCTGTCAACCCACCGAGGAACAGGAACAAGGTCGATGGCTTTGTCGGCACACCCCTCAGGAGAAGGGGCAAAGGTGGCGTCGAGGCTGTCGACCCACCAGGGACCAGGAACAGGCTCAAAGGCAGCGTCACCGTCGACGCACCAGCCGACCTGCTCAGGAGCAGGAAGAAGGAGGGCACCGTCACCATTGACGAACCCCTCTGGAGCTGGGAGAAGAAGAACGCCGTCACCGTCGGCAAACCCCTCTGGAGCTGGGAGACGAAGAACGCACCCACAGGAGAAAGGGCAGAGGTGGCGTCGAGGCTGTCAACCCACCGAGGAACAGGAACAAGGTCGATGGCTTTGTCGGCACACCCCTCAGGAGAAGGGGCAAAGGTGGCGTCGAGGCTGTCGACCCACCAGGGACCAGGAACAGGCTCAAAGGCAGCGTCACCGTCGACGCATCAGCCGACCTGCTCAGGAGCAGGAAGAAGGAGGGCACCGTCACCATCGACGAACCCCTCTGGAGCTGGGAGAAGAAGAACGCCGTCACCGTCGGCAAACCCCTCTGGAGCTGGGAGACGAAGAACACAGTCACCATCGGCAAACCAATCTGGAGCTGGGAGAAAAAGAACACCGTCACAGTCGGTGAACCCCTCTGGAGCAGGGGAACGCCGTCACTGTCGGTGAACCCCTCTGGAGGTGGGAGCAGGGGAACAAAAAGGGCTTTGGCGGTCCAGCAAAGCCCCACGGGACCAGAAGCAACCGCCTCTGTTGGCGTGTACTCATCGGCATACTGCAGACTTGGTACCCTGGCGGGGACGCTATCGTCACCGCACCTGGATTTCTCAGTCTCAGTGGGGACGTTTGGGTAACCATGCCAAGGGGCGGACTGCAGGACGGCATTGGTGCGTCCAGCCGACCCACTGGGAAACAGGAATGGGAACAGGCTGTGACTGTGGAGGCGACTGTGGCTGTGGAGACGGCCACTGCCGGGAAGCTGGAGCTGGAACCTCCTGTGGAGCATTCACCGTGACGCGCAGGGTGGTGCTAACGCTTCTGTCAGCGCAATGAAGGTAGAGGGCTTCAGCAGTGACACTTTTGTCGGCACACCAGGAACCTCCCCGTGCTGAAGGGACGTTGACCTCAAGAAGCTTAGCTGCAGGAACAGGCTGCCACTGTGGAGGGTGCGGGGGTTGCCGGAGGTGCGGTGGCTTGGACTGCCGGGACTGCCGGAACTGCAGAGGCTTGGACTACCGGGGCTTGGACTACCGGGGATGAGGTTGCAGCTGCCGGGGTGCTGGCTGAGGAGGCAGCAGCTTCCAGGGCTTGGACTGCTGGGGCTGTGGAGGTGGGAGTCTTGGCTGAGAGGAGGGCCGCTGCCACTGGAGACTGGGTACAGGAACAGGAACTGGCTCAGATGCGGCGTCTGCGATCCGGTTGACCTGCTTGAAAACAGGTACAGGAATTGCGGCCCCAGTTGACGGCCTCCTCCTGGTCCTCCCTTTCCCTGGACCCCCCAGGGAAATAGCCCACCAGGTTCCCTCAAAGAGAGAGGGTCTCTGTGCTGGATGGGAGAGTGGAGAAGAAATCTGGGCCTTTAGCTGCTAATAAATGTCCTGGGCTACTGCTGGGCTCAGGTAGGTCTCCATGAGTTGGAGGTTGTAAAGCTGGTGGCAGAGCTTGCTAAGTTTTGGGTAAGGCTGTTATGGTTGGTGTGTACGGCAGGACTAGTGATCGTCTGGCTCTGTCTTCCTCGCTGGCTGAGTTCATGTGGCCAGATTATACTGTCAGGATCGGAGCGTGAAGCTGCCGATGTTGTCGTGGGTGAACTCAATTACATAGCCAGAGGAGGATATATAAAGAAACACCATCTTTTTATTAAGAGCACTGACAAGAACAAAAACAATACAAGACACGGTGAAAACATGAAACGCACTTACAGGCACATACAACTAAAAGCACGAGAACGGAAACAGGCGGGACAGAATCTTGACTTTATGCGATTGTTAGAAATAAAGATTTTAGGTCTAAACTTAAAACATAAATCAAGTTGCCTTTAAATTACCTTCTTGTCTTCACCCTTTGAAGGTTTAACCCAGCCAATCAGATTATTTCTTGAGATGCTTCATTTCTGGGAATAATTTCTCAGATGCACCAGAAGCACTGCTTTAAAAAAGCCAGAAAAGCCGCTGTGGTTTGGTGAAAGCGGCTGCTGCTTGTGGTGCAGCTGAGGCTTTTGCTGTGACTCAATCACTTGCGTTTTGCATCAGTGGAGCTTGAAGATCATGA